TGCCAACTCAATGGACCGTCTTTTGTTTTTGAAGTGCTCATGTTGTTTTATAAAATTCTTCCTTTGGACTCTTGTTACTCTCCAGGGGTTAGTTGCAGCACATTCAGCCATTCAGTACGCAAATGTTATAACTTTTTGACAACGCCTAGGCGGGGCCTTTAAACTGACCGTTGCCTTTTTCGCCGATTATCATTTTTTATATTATCTATCAGAGATATCTCATTTTTGCAATGATTGAGCTAGCAGAGCTTTTGTTCAATCAAGTTCCAGGGTCGCTGAGACCTCTGTTCATCCAACTTTTGCATATAAACGCTGAGATATCGAGCACGATATCCGACCTATTGGCTTTGGACATAAAAGTTTACGTCAGTTGCAATGAATCCTGAAAAAAGGTTTTAATGAACTCTTTTCCCTTTTGAGTGGAAACAAAATTCCAAGACTTCTTTCGGTCTTTTGGGCTGGTTGCTTCATCGATCTATGACAATGCATCCTTCTCATTGTTCGACCCATTTGTAAATTTAGCCCTTTTAATGCTAATCCTTTGGCAAATTCACAGTTGATAATATAAAGTGCTGAAAATGCACCCATTTTTGTGCATAAAGCTAATACTGACTTGACTTGACTTCAGAGAACAAAGGCGCTATGCGTGAAACTGTTGTTTTGAGCGACATTAGACTTTTACTCGATACGCTGTGTTTAGAAATCGTGCTCCGCCCCCATTAACACCAGTGAAGTAGGAATAATTTGAAAACTTTACATTGCGCCATCCTGGCACTATCAGCGGCTTAAAGATCATCATAAGAATCTCTAGTCTCCAGCGCACAGTTGCTCCCAGAAACTGGCGTTTCTCATGTACAATATGTTGATGAAATCGCAGCACGTTGGGACCAGAAAAGATTAGCTGAAATGTGGAACTGCAGTTTAACGCATTTTACCGGCATGAAACAAAATTCGCTACTAAATGCCACTGCAAAGCTTTTAAGATGCACATGAGCTGTTGTTTCGATAATGTTTTGTCTGACGCACATCAACGTTTATGGTTTCTTCCGTGCTATCTTCGTAAATCGGAAGACTCGAAAGGCCCCAATTACCCATGCTTATAAAGAGTTGAGGATACACTGAAAGTCTGAGTTTTAGACGTTAATAAATAGGGTCGGCCTATTCACGCTGATGGCGACCATAGATAACCACGTTGCATTGGTCACGTGCTAGTCCAGTTGTGATTTATGAACTTAGAAAGAATGCACCAGTCACTGAGCTTATTTACTTCCCTTGAGAAACCCCCGTGTCCGGCGTGCGCCACGTAGGTCTGACTGAAACTTAATGAGTAAGGGGTGATCGATGATATGAAGTAGCCCGAATTCCTCGAATCATAGGAACAATATCACGTAATTTTTGAACAAAGGGTTCGTATAATTTTCTGTGTACACTATTTTTAAAAATTATGAAATGCCCTTCTAGTCCCAAGCTATTTTTGCCTGTTAAGGTACTCCAAGCTCTCAAGTAATCGGAAGCAATTTTAGCCACTGTACTCCCGTTACCGCTGAAGCAGCCGACAACATAGGCGATTTTACTGGTTATTTCTTAAGCCTCCTGATCCCAAGTAGAATGACCAGAAGAACACTTGTAGTCCTACCAATGCATTTGAGGTTTCAAAGGTGGAAACGTACAACAGAGTTTCAGAACGTCTCGAACTGTGAGCTTAAGGCTGATCACGCTGTAGCATTATTGTTTGACAGAATATTGATGACATCCACATAATGTGGGTCAACTAGTTTTGTCGGAAAAGCTTAATAACTATACTCGAGGACAAGATGCAAACATTTCGTGAAGGAATTAACCCTAAAATGAAATAGAATTGCAGGAGCAGAACAAATCTGGTTTACTCTACCCGTCACACGTAAAGCGTTTGAGGTGCTAACGCAAACTAATAAGTCGGAAGCTGGACACCGAAAAATATTGCATAATGCTGTATACCGAAACTGCGCTGAGAATTTAAGTGCTAACTAGGGTTGAAGTGACAGTTAGCAGGATATACGTATATTGGGAGATCAAATCTTTCAGACCGTCACAGTAACGTGCTCATAGGGCGGTGAGTTGAGATATTTTCGGCTATTCCAAGAAATCCGTGAGAGTGTCGGAAACCGAAAACTAATATACCGCTCTCTATGCAAGCTGTTCGATCCTCCCGTCCTCCGCCAAATCCTCAACGCCGAGGTGAGGTCGCATTAAGGGCACGCAATTCAGACCTAGCAATCATAGAAGAGACGCGATCTGGAAGTAATGGAGACATCACATCGAAGGGCAGCCAAACGCTTAAAGAGCCTAAGCCATGCCAACTACAAGTGAAGGCCATGGGAGTGTACAGTGGAAGTTATTGTCGTCAACGAGGTGACGTCTTTTGGCCGTACCAAATTTTAAGACGTTATTCACGTTTGCTGCTACCTCCTGAAACAGGCCGCAACAAAAAATTTGATGGGCTGTTGGCTGAAAGTGGCGTGAAATACAACTGGTTAGAATGTCGCGGGAAGTTGGTCACTGTCCAAAGAACTTTTGCATTGAAGCGCTTTTCCAACATATATTGTTTCTGAGTGCACGTTGTCCGTATTCAGTAGACGACTCGAAGATGCTGCCCGTAGAATCGAGGTAGGTGGCGTTGCATTTGCGTTAAAAGATAGGTCATGATAAGTCCAAAGATCTTTGGTTCACATTTTCGGCAAAGCTGCTTTTCATATTACGTATTTTTCCAAGGCCATACTACGAATTTGTGAATTTAAAGCACTACTTATCCTTGTTGAAGCTCCTTTTTATATTCCCGCTGTTTATCTATTAAAACCTGGTATAGAACAATTAACACTAACGCACTGACATAAATTTCGCATTATGATAGAGCCACAATGAAAATGTGTGTCCAGCCACAACCTCTGCACCGCAACCTTATACTGTAATAGACTTTTTCTCTTAGCAAGCTAGGACGACTGAACCACCATGCGTGACACAGCGCCTTAGCCTCGTACGTTCCATTATGCACGTAACCACCCTCTGCCTTCAACCAATTTGGCTCTTCGCTGTAGACTGGCATCCAAACCCACCTCTTACTTTTATTACTCAGCCTGTGACCCCTCGCTTCGCCAACAAGCTTAGATGATTGCATTACACTGCGCGACGTAGTGCCTTAGCGTCGCAGGAGTTCTTGCTGACGTAGCAACTTAGTTACTTTAACCCAGTTGGCTCGCCACTGTAAACCGACGCTCACCGCAATCGCCTGCTTTCCACCACTCTGTTCGCATTAGATCTCGTCTCTCAGCAAGATAGGGCAACTGATTCATCCTGCGCGACGCAGCGCCTTACTCTCGTATTCACTAGTGTTCATATAGATTTTACAGTATTGAATGCTTACACCATTTGCTGCAAACAGGTATCCAGCCCCACATACTGCCTGGCATCACACGGTCTGCATTAGCTAAATTCTCCCAGAAACCTACGTCGACAATCATCCTGCACGACGCAGAAATATAGCCTCTTACATACCGACACGCATGTACCCTTTATATGCTGCGACGTCCTCCACCCCTCGCCTTTATAAAGCGTCTAGCCCCAACTGACATCGCTTCGCATTTCCCGCTGTTTACTCTTTCGTAAGAACTCCTGCATGTAATATTAATGACAGCGAAGATACACGTTACATAAAGTTTCAAAGGTTAATCCATTGTTCAACGTGTTTGACCTTTTCTTGTGCGCTTCCACTACGTTTCCGTCTGGCTGCCTGTTGTCCGTTGGCCTTTCTTACCGAGTTTTTAGACTTCTTAACCGGCATCTGAAGAACCTTGTAATAACAGCGGATGACCGTTACTCAGCGATGCCGATCCCTGCTCCTCTAGGGATCACGGTTCGCTCGATTGATACAGACAGAAAACTAACGCTGTGCAGGGTGACCTGATGCTAGTAAATATAGTTAGCGGGCGAAAACAGTAGCTAAGTGACTGCGGAGAGCGATTCAAGCAATCGGTTCGATGTCAAACCATTCCAACTTACATGAGCTCAAGTTGAGGCACTGATTCAACATTTACCCGCCATATATATCTTTATCATTATTCGTGCCCATCGGCACTTTCGTATTTGCAAAATAAATCGCTTTTTCAACATGGAAAGATTTATTACAACCATATTCTATCACATGCATCTACACACACACTTTGTCAGAAGTAATATTTGGCCGAACAGCAAGTGTCGTACATCTGCTTGTACAAAACTGTTCATGCTATCTTTGGTGTGCCTCGTGAAACATCGAGAATGTAAATTATCATTTGAATTTTATTTATTTGTTTTCAAACCATGTTTTGCTATTTCTGGTGTATAGTACAACTTTTACACGTGCAAATATATCTATTACTGAGGGGATAACACTTTTGAAACCCCTGGCTTTGTCACAAAACGCAGTTGGTCAGTACGTCTTTGCATAATGCAGCAAATCGCTAAGCTAATAAGAAAACTTTTACTGCAACGCACCATAAAATACATTAACAAGGTATTTCATTTAAATTCCATTAGGGGAAACAGAGCGAGGGTATAATGGAGACGGTGGATCCTACTCTTTACACAACCAAAGTGCTCATATTGGGAGAGTTGATCTACACGAAGTGAGCTAAGCTTCATTCAAGCGTGAGTTTAAGTGGCACCGAGCGCGAATGTTAGTGAGGGCTTTTCATGTAAACATACCAAAAATAGGTGGCTTACCCCTGGCTATGAGCAGAGCCACGTTGAACACAGCGACAACAGTTGCTAAATAGTATAAACTACGGAAACTTAACCATAAGTCCCTATACTGTCTCTATAATCTTACTGGTTAGAGGAAGTTTTCACAGAATTTTATTTGGTGCAGATGCATGAGCAGTGTTTGCATTACTTTTAAACAGGCTGTCATTTGACGAAATTCACTTTGGGAGCAATATCTGAACCATCGGACAGGATTTCGTCATTATCACTGAGATCAAACTTACATTATCTAAGAAACTCATCCGCAATGACTGCGCCAATGACCTGTCGCGGAAGGAGTAATCTGGATCACCTGAATAGCAGAAAAGGGCAAGGCACACAAATAGAACAGAAACCGAAACGTACATTTATAAAGGTGTGTGGGTGTCTAACTAGAATTTAACAATCTCAATGTCATGGGCGATTGCATTTATTCGTTCAAAAACAAACTGCGATTTCGGTGGATCGTTAACTGAATCTAATGAAAACATTTAAGAGGACCCTGAGAACCCCTGCGATTCTTTAACTCTTGGCTACGGAAGCTTGTAGGTTCTTGTCACGTACCACCAACAGAATCGCTTTCATTTGTTGGTTTCAAGTACCTACTACAGCAAGTCACCACAGATATAGTTATTACTCCGATTGGCCAATGGATAGATATAGCTAGCCTGTTACAGTAGCGGGCGAATTCCTACAGCATTCCTAGCTGTTTGAAGATATTTTACACGGAACTCAATTTAAGAGAGTGAACACTCCTGAAGGATCTAGTAAACACAGAATAAAGCCTTTCATTTCAATAACAATTTGCTCCTCAGCACCTTTTCATGCGCATGTAAATAGTGCCTAAGTAAATTAGGTGGAACAGCAAACGAAATTCATAGAGATGTAGGTCTGAAAAACGGCAAGGAGCCCAAGATGTTCACTGGATTCATGGACTCATAAGTGGTGTGTGCACCACCACTGGGCCAAAGTAGACTTCATAAGGCTTTGTAAGTTATGGCCCAATCCATTTTTCTCTTCGGAGTCCAATGGTAAACTGCAAAGTTTTCTAATTTCCTTATCTAGAATTCTACACATTTAGTTATATATGTTTCCCGAAATCTTGGCTGTCAATCTCACTGTCACACCTAACCACCTGAAGCTGTAAGCATCACTTCATGAAAAGAAGCGGAAGTGTTTGATGCCACTAGTTGCGAATACTGCACCCCACAACTGGTTTAACCGGTCATCCATCCTCTTAGGTAGAAACAGCTGGAGTCGGAACTCGAACTTAGGGTTTGGAGAATGTAACCAGTTGTCGATCCCTTAATGCTGACGAACAAGCTGCGCATGCGCTTCACTTACCCTAAGCTGGCCTTGCACTACATTAGGGTAACTGAGGATGCACAACAATAAGATAGCGATACAGTTATGTGTATAAACAGTGGTGTGGCAATGATGCATTACTACTCACCAATGCACTTCCAACTGCTGTGTCATCCGCTGCCTGCAGAGCTATGGCCTAGTGACCAAAGCGTAAGCCGGCAACCACCATGTATCGGGTTCCCATCTCAGTTCAGACTATCACTGTCTGACGAGTCCAAATCAGGACGAAACCAGTCGATCGTGGAGTGCCTCGCTGGGAGAGAGTAGCCGCGAAAATCTCCACTTCGGGAATAGCATAGGTTCGCTTCAAAGCATACGGTAGCCTCAATCGCGATCGAGCGTCGCAATCAAGACCCAATACGGTTTCTCTAAAACCTGAAAACCAACTTTTGACCACTATGTTAAGCAGTGTTCGAGGAGCTCAGGGGCTAATAATCATGGCCATAGCTAGCAGGACCTATGCGCCGAGTTCCAATCCCAGCTCGGCTATCCTTACCTGACGAGGCCAAATCAGAACGAAACCGGTCGGTTGCGGAGTGCAGTGTTTGGAGAGAGCAGCTCCTAATCGCATCAATTCGGGTTTGGTCCCAATGATCGAATTGGTAGAGGTTTACTCCAAAGCATGCCATGACCTTAAACGAGATTGCGTGCATAAGTCAGACACACAGCGGGTATTCTAAGACCCAACAATGGACAATGATGCTTTGTCCAGATTCTTGATCGTTGTTCATTTGTATGTTCAAACGTAAGTGGGTTACGCGACACTCTCCGTTAAGTGACCTAGTGCTTTTAACTTTCATCATGACGCCCCAGTTTCCATTCCCGGTTTCGGCATTCTATGCCTTACTAGTCCAGACAAAGCGAGGTAGGTTTTAGAACTCATTATTCCGAGCGGGTAATACCCAGCACCTGTTCGTTTTGGATATGACCTCAGTGTTGCAAAAACCTAGGTCCTACCACGTTCACCTAATGTACGCTGTAGAATCTGGGAGAAGCAGATGAACTAGTGAGATCGGGGCTTCGTTTGCATAAAGCATATCTTTATGAGAGTAAGAGCAAATTTGCATACCACATCTGTCACTGAAACATAAAACAGCTTTGGGGAAAGTATATTTTCTACAACGGCCACTGTTTGACTGCGCCTTAATGTGCTGTAACCGACCACAGCAAATAACTACAAACCTGCCTATTCCACTATTCATGAATGTCAGTCTTACTGATGGTTAAGTCAGTGCCTGTCATTTGTGTTACACGTGGTACCCAGGACAACGCTTGCTTCTCCGTAAAGAGATTATTCCGATGAGGGAACCTCCGAATTGTACATAAGTTCTCTTAACCAGCCTAACCAACATTAGAAACAGATTCCCATAGTATTTCTGACAAAGTTAGCACTAGTTGACTTAAATCGGAATTTAGTTTGAGTACAAGAAGTCCTTCAAAGCAAATGAAAGTAGCAGCAAGTTGTTGCTCATGCAACTGATGGCCAGCACTTATCAACAGTTTAAACTAGTCGGTTGGTGTGCTGTCACTAGTCGAAAATTTAAGATGTACTGACGTGCACAAGTCACTACTAAGAGATACCAAGAGATACTTATACGGTTCTCTTCGGTGTATAGTAGTGCATGGGGCGGGGCGGGGACTTCGAAGCTGCCGTTGCTGTTTTCTCCTCGGAGTACTATTTTTACGCTCTCTGCCGCCCATGTATCAGTTTTGTCGCACTTTTCCCACATATTGTTTAGCTGGATCATTCTGATGTCATCGATTTTATAATAGTCTGCCGTCGTCTTGAAATTGTCCAGATGTAAGTTGAACCGCACTGGTTCGTTTAAGCTACACATTATTTCTATTGCTTGTTTTATTTTCTGGCTGTGTATCGTATTCATGACGAACCAAAAGGGAATATCATCACTGCGTCGATTTTTAACGAATCTACTTGTTTATGTATGCTTGTACCGGTTAGCACGTTTGCACCTGTCGTGTGGCCGGATACACTCGTTTCGGCTCCGCTGGTTCGGCTTGGTATTCGGCCCATCGGAGTATCGTCCTTGTATAAGCGCTTATAAATCGAACGTTGAGCTTCGCTTGTTATTCGCTTACAGTCCGGAATCCTTGTCGGTACCACGAAGCTGCTCTAGGGAACCTGTTACAAATTGGCCTCACGGGCAGTCACCGCAGGATTTTCAGAGATAATTCGGTACCAAATGTACCGCATGAGCCGCCAATATCACGCGGATGACGATTGCAAAGACTGCTATTGAAAAATGTCAATTCATTATTCTGGAGTGCCTGATAAATATATCGGCCCTTGTTTTCTCAGCTACCTAGGCCTGGAGGCGTTAGGCTTGTTCCGTAAAATGCACATTCCAATGGAGGCACGATTTGGTAGTATCCGAGCCATAGTTTGTGAAGTGTTCTTACGGAGAAACCCCGCCACTTGCCTTTCCCGCGCGAAACCGTGAACCGCGAACGGTAAGTCAAGTTCTATTGCCTTACACGTAGAGTCGCACGCGATTAGTCCATTAAATCGCATTGCCGTTACCGGCGAGCACTTCGCTATTTTTGCAATTGAGTTCGCGCTGCCAATGCCAGACGACTTTGCCCCTTGCGATAGATTGGAACGCACTATCACGATACCGCCTGGTTAGTTCCCTGAGCTAAAGGATTTCGTTGATTGGAAAAGTACTACCTCATATTCCCATTTTCCAGTGGACGTCGTGATTTGTACTGCCGTTCACGACCGTACCGAGCAGTCAACTTCGGTAATGTCTTTCGCCGCAGCTTGCGCCGTGCAGACACAGAAACCTTCACACCACGACGAAGCGGTTGTATGTTTTGAACTCGATCACTTATAGCTTTCATTTCCTGACATCGACAAAATTTACATCTACACGGGGGAGTCGACGGCAAATATATTTCCCCTTTCAATATCGTCCATTGAAGTAGCTATTGCCCGCCGGCCACCGCAAACCGCTTCGTTTACTTATCATCAGTCCTTGTCACCCTGCTTAGCATCATTTACCACACACTTTACTGAGTTTCGGCACGATGAATTCGCTAGTACGAGTTTTGCCTCCGTTGGTACCACGCGTTTTGTTTTTCGAAGCGGTTGGTCCGTTCATTGAATTTTCCCACCGGACGTTGCATAGCGTGCTCCCTCTTCCCATTCTGCAAGATCTTGGACCACCCTATGCGGACTTCTTATCACATGTGCTGAGGAAGCGCGTTTACGTTGGCCGCGACAGCGTCGGTTCTTGGGGCATTGAGGCCAGTGCCTGTGGGAAGAGGAGGCAGTGTAACGCAAGTGAAACCGCACTGGCTAGCTTAAACAAGACGTTATTTTTAGTGCCTGTTTAATTCACTTGCCAATCTTGATTTGTCGTGTTGCGTCCTGTGGCTGCCCAGTGGAAGCCACAGTGACACTCAAATCCGGTACCAGATGCCGCTAAGCATAGCGTGCATCGTATTCTTGAGGAACCAAACGGGAATACCATCACTGCGTGTATCTGTAATGAATCTACTTGTTTATTTACGCTTGTACCGTTTGAGACGTATTCTCTTGTCTTGCTGCCGAATAAACTCGTTTCCGCTCCGTTCGTTTTTTCTGGTATTCCGCTTGTAAAGTCCAAAAGGAAATTTGATGTATCACGAACCTGGATTGCTTACATGAGGACACGGTATCTCTATTCCCTGATTACCTTGATCATTCACACTGCTTTACTGTGGTTTACAAGCGGTTAACATATCGTATATCTATTTCTTTCACTCGACCACTGACACATCCTTGACGTTTCAAGGTCACTCTTATTATTATGTTACTGTGACACTGCCCAAATACTCGATCTGCCCCACGCTGTACAGTTTCTGCCCACTTGCATTACGATTGCAAAACCTATTCGTAAGTCATGTACTGTATTTAATATGCCTTATAGAACCACGGTTACAGGATAA